TATGGATCCACTGATGGACTTCTGTATCTAAAGACACAGTTATTCCGCTAAACAGCCCGGGATACATGGCGTAACATGTCTGAAGAAATAACATTGAACACGACGTATAACCCAGTTACTTAACCTCATCCACTCGTAATTGACACCACAGATCGGTCATTAATGATTCACATTTCACTTATTGTGTAAGCGGTGATTAACCCGAACGCTGTACATGCATCTTTGCACACAACCAATACCGACCAGATCAGAACGGTGGTTCAGAATGATTTACGGTTTCACAATATTGACTAATTTGGTTAGAAGATGTTTGTATGCCGTTGTATTTCTCATTAGACTGTCTAAGTAACTCACGTCACAATATATCATCCTTGGTTGATTTGCAAAGTGCATACTCGCAACCACCAATTACGTTTGCGATACTGTACGTCTTTGTTAACAAGTGAGAAAGATAGATGAGAGAATTTATTATGCAAACGGAATACAACGTTTCGGTGTACATTGGGGCAGTGGGGTAGTCTAGTGGTTAAAGCGTTGACTCGTCACGCCGAAGACCCAGGTTCGAATCCCCACATGGGTACATTGTGTGAGGCCCATTTCTGGTGTCCCTCGCCGTAAAGTTGCTGGAATATTGCTAAAAGCGGCGTACAATCAAACTCAGTCAGTCTGTCAGTTTGTTAACAAGTAGGAAAGATAGATGAGAGAATTTATGATGTCAGTATCTTTTGCAAACGGAATACAACGTTTCGGTGTACGTTCTGTTTTGTTTTGATTTTAAACATCACACTCAGTGTGTGTGTTGGTTGTTTTACGTCGCACTCAGCAGTATTCAAGCTACATGGCGGTTGTCTGTCAATAATCGAGTCTGGACCAGATAATCCAGTGATCATCAACATATGCATGTACATTGATTTACGCAATTGGGACACGATGACATGTGTCAACCATTTCACCGAGCCTGACCACCCGGTCCCGTTAGTCGCCTCTTAGCGGTGTAGATTCATTCACCTGATGAAAGAGTAACAGTCAAACCGAAACATGAGTCTCATCAACCTATTCAGACAATGACCTACTTTTCAGCCGATCCGAATTTTCTTTTGTGAAAGTGAAAAGAGACATTACAAACAACTATGGTTATACTGGTTATACTGGTTATAGTGCTTCGATGTATCAAATACTGATTAATAATTATGTATCCAGTTAAATAAATTTGTCTCAAAATTCTGGACTGGTTATTGTACTAAGTTGCGCAATAGGACGGGACCCAGTCAACAGGAAACGAGACTGTTGTGTAATCAATGTTTTGACTTGATAGTCCAAAAGAACGTGTTCCTTATACTAAAGAAGTTAACAGCAACATGTGTTTTTCAAAATTTCAAACTATTTCATTGCTGGGTTATCTTTAAAGGTTGTTTTAACGGTTTTTTATCGTGGCAAAATATTCAAATGAACAAATGGCCATTGGAAAATGAATTCAAATTTTACTGGTAATTCAAATATTTGCATACTATATCGAAAATGTCGCACATGGTCATTACATTACCTACAGCTTGGACGTAGATGTATCTGAAATATACACAAGGAAAAAAGTATCGCAACACCCCATATTATGCACAGTATCAATATGTTACCAATATCAATATAGAAAAAGGAGCTTCTGCAAACCTCAATTTAACCTACACTTTGGTTAAATTAACCCTCAAAGAATATTTGAATGTAAAATCAAATCGCAAAAAAACAACGAAATAGTGTAGTTTATTCTGAGCGGCAAACATGGCAAATAATTGACCCATTTTGTAGTGCTGATAACGGCGGTCGTATGACGTTAACGTCCTTTTCAAGATTCTGACAATCAAGAAATCACGTGTATCAGACGTTGAATTCGACGTTCAGACATTGCGTTCCATTCTTGACGGAGGGCTTGTTCGAGTACATCAAGATTTTGTACCGAAGGAACTCTCTGGCGTATTCTTCGACCCTTAGTGTACGACACATGCACTATGGGATTGAGATCGGAACTCCTGGTGGACCCAGGTAGGGTTGCAACCACGAAATAGCCAATGGCCTGGCATTGTCGTCCATAAACGGTACTTGCTCCAAGATATCTGCAGTGTTTGTGCGGCGTAAAAAACGAGCTGGGCCATCAGTAATGAACAAAAGAAATCGACTTTCGTCCCCCAGTAGACCCTTCCCCATGACGTCAAATTCCAGTTAAGTCGAGCTGGTTGACCGTTTGGGGTAAACCACAACAGACGGCTGATAGGTCGTCTGGCCATAACTCGCAGATTTTAGGCGATTTTGGACCGCCCTGTAGACTAAACAACGATGTGGACGCCACTCTGTTTAAAACACACCACTTGACATGCAAGGATGAAATCTGAGAATGGCTGTGGCCTTCGTGGTTGACCTGAATGCTGATGGTACTTCATATCAGATTCCTGATGGTTTCTGGCCAATCGGCTGATGACAACCCCCATCTGTTGCTGTAGCCCTCAATGACATGCCAGTATTTCCCATGGTACATGGCGTGCCAGCTTTGAGTCAGCTGAGCAGCCGTCATATCTGCCAATCAACAACGAAATCAATTAATTTTCCAACTTATGGAGCTCTAATGACAGTTTACTGAAACTTGATGTTTGCTTATTGACGTCAACACGCCTTTGATCGTAGCACGTTCATATCTAATATCAATGTATGGTGTGCCAGAAGGGTAACCACAATCATACAAACAAACACAGTTATGACATGTATAATATATATAATGGCTTTCATATATATTGCGTTTTTGTTTTCCATGTGTATGTATTTGTCCGTCAGGTCATCTTTGTATTATTTGTAAAGACTTGGAGACGCTTGCACCTTCTGAGGACAAAGGATCTGTGAGTATACAAATTCAGGTTACATGAGAGTCACAATTGAGTGTTCGATCCTCGACCGCGTCACACCAAAAGACGTTAAAATATGGTACTTGTTGGTCCCTGTCTGGCGCTCGGCATTAATGGGTACAACAGGGACTGGTTGGCTTGAAGTCAGTATAATTTGTCTGAGTGGGGTATTCATGCTTCACTGTGGCATGGTATCTCAGTGGGCTAGCATTATAAAACCAGCTCAAGTCTGGGCTAGTACAAACAGCCGCACCTACACATACGCATACATGCACATCGTCATATGAGCGAAATATTCTCGAGCGCGACGTTAAACCCAATTTCACCTCACCTTACCTCGCAATTGAGTGAGTGAGTGAGTGAGTGGGGTTTCACGTCGATTTAACAATATTGCAAACATATCCCTGCGTGCGGACACCAGAAATGGTTTTCACTGTTTGTGATCCTGTGCACAAAGCTCAAGTCACAAATCATCTGCAGTTAATCAACATTGGGTGCGGAGAGTCCTTGGATGGGTGACCGCGTTTGGCAGCTTGACACCTGAGAGTTTCTAGGACTTCAGGCTTGCTCCACAACGAAGCACATGTGATACACGTGATCTCACCTTAGGCAACTGAATTTGTTTAAAATTGCCTCTGTTTACCCAGCAGAAAATGGATACCGGTGGGATGTCATGTGACTATAACCTTCTAGCGCCTAACAGTTAGCTTGGGTTACCCGGGGTAATAATGTGTTAGCGCCAGGAGCATGTTTACGAGCGGGGATATGTGCGCATGATAAATATGCACTATTACTTGTGTGGAGTCGAGGCGTGACAAGCAAATACTTCCAGGGTTACACTACTCAACCTTTCATTCTGCTTCACCTGAAATCCTGTTCAACGTTGCAAGTCTACATTTCAACTCTCTCATATTTTCAGAATACCAATCAGTATTCCAGAAATTCAATTCATATAAGCTTAATGCCTTCGTACTTAAAGCGAATTGTAATTTGTGTACTCAACGTCACTTAAGCGCCTCTGCTGAACTGTGGATTTTCCCAAACAGATCGAATGCAATTGGAAATTAATGCATAATTGGCACCACGGAATCGATGGACGGGGATGGAGACGAAATGAGATAGACCACGTGTGTTTGGATGTGTAAATATATGTGCATCGGAACTAATGACATCAAAATAGCTTGTTGTATCGAAATATATCCGCAGACACTCTAAGATGTATTCGCAAATCTTAATTTAAATTTCAAAACTAGTGTCATTTGTGCATTATAATTGGCGATATTTGTTACGCAACATTTGTCTTTTTTAACGAGCAGCGTATTTGTGGTGATTGAATGTATATACACCCAACAAGAACCTAATGTCGAAAACATTATATTTAACACCTACGGATAAAACGAAATGTTTTCTCAATTGACTTTAATTTGGGTGTTATCCGTGTGATATGGATTCCGAGAAGTGGTGATGTCCAAAACACGTTTTGCATATTAAGCTCATACGGTTTAATTCAACGATTAACTGACCCGTGAAGGTCCGGGTTAGAATGAACCTTCAGTAACCCATGCTTGTCGTAAGAGCCGACTAACGGGATCTGGTGGTCAGGCTCGCTGACTTGGTTGACACATGTCATTGATGCCCAATTGCGCAGATCGATGCTCATGCTGTTGATCACTGGATTGTCTTTGTGGTGTGAAGTGAAGTGGTGAAGTCCAAAAAATGTTTTGCATTAATATATACGGACCCTGTGTTCTCAAATAGTTTAATCAGACATCACATTATGATTGTGCGTCCTGGGTAACAAGCAACGTGTCCCAAATATTTCTACTTGAATATCACGTACTTAAAAATGGTTTCATTCAAATTAGTCATGAAAGATCAGTCAATTAACACACTTTGTGGTTTGAAAATCATCTATTCGTTTTAATTAACTTCGGTTGATATATGTGTACCCCATGTCTCAATCATTAGAGAGCCACAATTGTGATTGCATGAGTGAATTTCAGATCATTATGACTGATCATTAGCTATTTTCTTTATCTAATTGGCAACAGCCAACAACGTCATTGTGTTATAAGAGTGAAATTTCACTCGATGGGTTTATTTGGAGGAGAGAAAAAAGAAGAAGATGTATGTGATTGTGAGTGCTGTTACCGTCTACAACGTTCTGACTCTGGGTTACTGTCAGGGAAATCTGTTGAGTCAAGCTGTTCTTACAAAGAATACCTCAACGTCGCGAACGTTTGTCTGTACGTGTTCCGACGCTGCCAGCTGCACTGCAGACAAGTGGAAGGACCTTCTAGCTGAGTGTCGGCAGATGTTGGAGAACATCGACCATCAGGTACTCTTAATTTAGAATGGGCATGGTTTTTAGCAATATTCCAGCAGTAAAACGGCGGGAGACACAAGATATAGGTTTCACACACTGAAGGGTCTCGCCTTGATTAGCGAACACTATGACCACTAGGCTTCCCACTAACCCGTACGTAGTAGTAATAGTAGTAGTAGTAGTAGTAGTAGTAGTAGTAGTAGTAGTAGTAGTAGTAGTAGTAGTGGCACCCGTGAAGGTCCAGGTTTAGATATTGATTTTCAGTGATTTATACTTGTCATAAGAGGCGACTAACGGGATCGGGTGGTCAGGGACGCTGACTTGGTTGACACATGTCATCGGTTCCCAATTGCGTAGATCGATGCTCATGCTGTTGACCACTGGTCCAGACTCGACTATTTACAGACCGCCGCCATATAGCTGGAGTATTGCTGAGTGCGGCGTAAACCTTAACTCACTCACTCACTAGTAGTTGCAGGAGCAGTAGTAGTACAACGCAGGGAAGTGGTGTTTGACATTTACAGGTGGCACTGAGAACTAAGAACCTTGGTTGGTGGGTTGTGGGTGGTGATGGTGGTGATGGTGGTGGTATGATAAGAGTGGATACACCGAATGTTTGCTGATATATTAAACAGACAAAGGAGACAGTATTTCCGTGCACGTTGGACTTATATTGAAACAAGTAGGTCGTCTGAATACGTGAAGTTTAAATGAAACTTAGTGAAATGGTTTGCTCTATGACACTGGTATCGGAAGTTGCAATCAGCAGTGATGTATAAATACTCTCAGCACAAATACTGAGGACTAAGACTGAATTAAACGAATATGTGATCAGAATAAAATAACCTTTCCAGAATTCAGGTTAATCATCTGCACTCTGGGTGTCATAGCGAAGATAAAGTTTACAAACATTCAGATAAAGATTCAAACATATATAAGTGTCTTATATACATTTCTATTCACTTTACGAGCCTACAAGACCCTAATGCTTACCTTTGTGTCAAGTGCCAGGAAACAGTGAGTACTGTCACTTGCTCTAAACAACAACATTCCAAGCCCCGTGCGGACTCTCTGGCCAAAAGGCCATGGCAATAATTGTTCTTAAAGATTGTTTGATCTAGCAACGTATGTTAGAGTCCCGGTAAGGCGACCTGCAACCATGCTGTGCTGAATACATGTTTCGTGTTATTGAAAACTTTTGTAGAAACGTTTCCGAAACTGCTGCAAAATATTTCGTCCGTTTCCTTTACGGCCTTAGCCTCTGAGATCATCCTTTAGCCACGTGGAAATGGTGAGAATTCAAACATGCGAAACCTAGACTGTTTTATGTTATCGGTTCACTGCAGAAAAATGTGCGAAAGAGAAAGGAAATATTGCATTGTGTTATTCTGAAGATAATATAAACTAGAACAACATCAACCTACTGTTCGCCATGTGCTTGTCATGTTCTTACCGACCACGTCTAGCGGGCTCGTTTCGGACCATTCAGGCATTAGAAAAAACGCCACCTAGAATTCAGACTAGATTCAACAAATCTAAATGTGTCCCTGCTGATAAGAAGATCCACCCTCATTCATCTGATCATGAAATCAAAGTCGTGTAACACATTTTACAGACCAAGTCAGAAGAAAGAAACCCTTTAGAGAAGCAAGAGGAAACCACTTCGGCACAAGAGACAACAACGTCGGCACAAGAGACAACCACGTCGGCACGAGAGACAACCACGTCGGCACAAGAGACAACCACGTCGGCACAAGAGACAACCACGTCGGCACAAGAGACAACCACGTCGGCACGAGAGACAACTACTTTGACCCAAAGTCCGACCACCACAGGTAATGGTTGTATTCGTGAAGCTCTTGCCCATGTTCCCTATACATTATATACTCAGCACATTAACTATCGCCACATGTAACCCTGAGTGCGTGTACCAGCATTGATTGAAACATACGTCAATCATCGGATGTCCGCAGTTATGGTGTCCCATACGATCACATTCACTGACGAAAAGGCTGATGTCACATATATTTGTTATGATCTCCATGAGACCAGCTCATACGAAATGTGTAGGTCGGTTGTAATGACTCTCTGTAGCTCGGCGCACCATTCATGGATAATAGACGGGGCATCATTTCCCCTCCCGAAACTCCGAACAATTAGCCTGTAGAAATGTTCCACTTCAACACACATAACACCAACCAGCTTGACACACATAACACCAACCAGCTTGACACACATGACACCAACCAGCTTGACACACATCACACCAACCAGCTTGACACACATAACACCAACCAGCTTGACACACATAACACTAACCAGCTTGACACACATAACACCAACCAGCTTGACACACATAACACCAACCAGCTTGACACACATAACACCAACCAGCTTGACACACATAACACCAACCAGCCTGAAACATATACCACCAACCAGCATGACACACATAACACCAACCAGCTTGACACACATAACACCAACCAGCATGACACACATAACACCAACCAGCATGACACACATAACACCAACCAGCTTGACACACATAACACCAACCGGCATGACACACATAACACCAACCAGCTTGACACACATAACACCAACCAGCTTGACACACATAACACTAACCAGCTTGAGACACACAACACTAACCAGCTTTGACACACATAACACCAACCAGCTTGACACACATAACACCAACCAGCTTGACACACAACACCAACCAGCTTGACACAACCCAACCAGCTTGACACACTTAACACCAACCAGCATGACACACATAACACCAACCAGCTTGACACACATAACACCAACCAGCATGACACACATAACACCAACCAGCTTGACACACATAACACTAACCAGCTTGACACACATAACACCAACCAGCTTGACACACATAACAATAACCAGCATGACACACATACCACCAACCAGCTTGACACACATAACACCAAACCAGCTTGACACACATAACACCAACCAGCTTGACACACAAAATTTTGGACAAATAGTCGACAGGGTCATTTTGGGAACATTCACGTATTAGAAGAAACGCCTCCTGGGATAGTTTCAAGATTTCACAAATCTAAACATGCTAATGTTCATAAGAAAAATATAATATTATACATCTTAACACTTAGAGGTTCACAATGTAAGTTTTCAGTTTAGTTTTTTGAAGTCATGTTACACATTTTACTCTTCACAATCCAACTCTGCAGACAAAATCGATGCAAAACAATTCCTCGCACACAAACACTACACATGCCAACTGTACTCTCACAAACTCTACACACATCAACCCTACAGACAAACTACACAAACCAACGCTACACATACCACATTTTACTCTTCACACCAACTACACACACCAACGCTTCACATGCCACATTTTAATCTTCACAAAAAAACTCCACAGACAAAATCGACACAATACAAGTCCTCGCACACCAGCACTACACATACCAACACTACACACACCAACTCAACACACACCAACACTACACACAACCAACTGAAAAAACACCAACACTACACACACCAGCTACGAATACCAACTCAACACACACCAACTCTACACACACCAACTCAACACACACAAACTCAACATACACCAACTACAAACACACCGACTCAACACACATCAACTCTACACACACCGACTCAACACACATCAACTCTACACATACCAACTCAACACACATCAACTCTACACATACCAACTCAACACACAACAACTCTACACACACCAACTCAACACACATCAACTCTACAGACACCAACTCTACACACACCAGCTAAACACATACCAACTCTACACACACCAACACAACACACACCAACTCAACACACATAAACTAAACACACATCAACTACAAAAACACCAACGCAACACACACCAACTCACGTACCAACTACACACACCAACACTACACACACCAACTACACACACCAACACTACACACACCAACACTACACATACCAACTCAACACTCACCAACTCTACACACGTTAACCCTACACACACCAACTCAACACACACAAACTCAACATACACCAACTACAAACACACCAACTCAACACACACTAACTCAACACACACCAACTACACACGTAATCTAAACACACACAACTACAAACACACCAACTCTACACACACCAATTCAACACACGCAAACTCTACACACATCAACTCTACAGACACCAACTCTACACACACACCAACTCAACAGATACCAAGACAACACATACCAACACAACACACACCATCTCTACACACACCAACTCAACACACACCAACTCAACACACACCACACCTACAAACACCAACTCAACACACATCAGCTCTACACACATCAACTCTACACATACAAACACAACACACATCATCTCTATACAAACCAACACTGCATACACCAACTCTACATACACCGACTCAACACACACCAACTCACACACCAACTACACACACCAACACTACACATACTAACACTACACACACCTCCACACACACGAACTGTACACTCACCACTTCCACACACAGGAACTGTACACTCACCACCTCCACACACACGAACTGTACACTCACCACTTCCACATACACGAACTGTACACACACTACCTCCACAATAGACGAACTGTGCACTCACCACTACCACACACACGAACTGTACACACACCACCTCCACACACACAAGCTGTACACACACCACCTCCACACACACGAACAGTACACACACCACTTCCAGTCACATGAACTGTACTGACACCACCTCCACACACACGAACTGTACTCACTCCAACTTCACAGCACGAACTGTACACACACCACCTCAACACCATAAGAACTGTACGCACTCCACCTCCACACACACGAACTGTACTCACACCAACTACACACAAGAAGAACTGTACTCAAATCACCTCCACACAAACACGAACTGTACACACACCACCTCCACACTACAAGAACTGTACTAACACCACCTCCACATACACGAACTGTACTCACTCCAACTCCACAAACACGAACTGTACACACCACCTCCACACTACAAGAACTGTACACACTCCACCTCAACACACACGAACTGTACTCACACTAACTACACACAAGAAGAACTGTACTCACACCACCTCCACACTACACGAACTGTACACACACCACCTCCACACACACGAACTGTACACACACCGCTTCCAGTCACACGAACTGTACACACACCACCTCCTCACAAACACAAACTGTACACACACCACTTCCAGTCACACGAACTGTACACACACCACATCCATACACACGAACTGTACACACTCCAACTCCACACACACGATCTGTAAACACCACCTCCACATACAAGAACTGTACACACTCCACTTCCACACACACGAACTGTACACACACCACCTCCACACAAACACGAACTGTACACACACAACCTCCACACTGCACAAACTGTACACACTCCACTTCCACACACACGAACTGTACACACACCACCTCTACACACACGACCTGTACACACACCACCTCCACAGACAAAAACTCTACACACACCACCTCAACACACACGAACTGTACACACACCACCTCCACACATCAACTCCACATACACCACCTCCACACACAAGAACTCTACACACATCAATTCTATACATAATTATCAACTCTGCATACGCCAGTAATATACCTCTACACAAATAATTTTATCTGAAAACTAATGATACCTCTGTGGGGATTTTAATAAGTGTTTCGTCAATTTCCATACTCGTTGATACCAATTATATATTGATCAGCCGTTCTCTTGACATGAACTATTCATATTATTCTCATAGTGTATGCTATGATCAAATAGACTCATTGTTTACTTCACCATACACACAATCACTACAATGAACAATATGTACAGGACACGGTAGTTTTAATTAGGTTTATCGATAAAGCCGTGAACATACTTGATTAGTAGTGTTTCTCTACGACCGCCAGCACAAATATAATGCCCGTCAAAACAGAAGTAGGAGCCGTGATGATGCTATGTACATATTTGATAAGCATTTACTTCATAACGTGTGCCCTCCTAGTCTATAGATCACCATCATTGGCCTAGCTAAATCGATGGAAATAGTCTATTTTACATATTTTCAGAGGGGCAAAGCGTAATGCTGAGCCATACCGTTGTGTGCTACTTAGTAATATTATGGCAGTTCATACCAAAACCCGAAGGTCCATGGTGATATATCGACTTGGAGGCTGGAGACGGGGAATAATGATATAATGACAGATCATTGAAGGAGTAGGGGCGTGTCCGACGTGTATGTGCATGTACGTGTCGTGCCGTATTTAATGTGTCTGTAGTGCAAATCTGTGTAGGGGCATGTTAGGGGTGTGTGTGTGTGTGTGTGTGTGTGTGAGAGAGAGAGAGAGAGAGAGAGAGAGAGAGAGAGAGAGAGAGAGAGAGAGAGAGAGAGAGAGAGAGAGAGAGAGAGAGAGAGAGAGAGAGAGAGCGTGGGTGTCGGAGCGTATCGGACATGTGTGTGTGTGAATGTATCTGACGTGTGTAAATGTGTCTGACGTGTTTATGTGAGTGTGTCTGACGTGACTGAGTGTGTCTGACGTGTTTATGTGACTGTGTCTGATGTATGTGTGAGTGTGTCTGACGTGCGTGAGTGTGTCTGGTGTGTGTATGTGTCTGACGTGTGTATGTGAGTGTGTCTTAAGTATGTCAGTGAGTGTGTCTGACGTGTATACGTGAGTGTGTCTGACGTGGGTGAGTGTCTGACATGGGTGTTTGTGTCTGACGTGTATGTATCTGACGTGTGTGTGTCTGACGTGGGTGTATCTGACGTGTGTGCGATGTGTGAGTGTCTGGCGTGTGTATGTGAGTGTGTCTGACGTGTGTGTGTGAGTGTTTCTGACGTGTTAGTGAGTGTGTGTCGCTAATTTACTCGCTAACAACATACGTGATTTACATGGACGAATAAATGAATGTTGCAGTACACCGTTATTTTCGGCTTTCATCGAGGGATAGCCTAGTGAGTAAAACTTTCGCTCGTACCGCCGAAGGACCCGGGATCGATTCCCCACATGGGCAAGATATGTGAATCCCATTTCTGGAAGCATAACCTTCCCAGTACTTCGTTTTGGATGCATCTCATGTCCATCTCATTCCAGCATCCTGTGTCTCGGACTGCACTGGTGTGGGCAATGGGAGATACCAGTCGTGTATACGGTGCGACGGCTACGTGGAATGCACTCATGGAAACACACACCACAGACCATGCTCCGCTGGTACACTGTGGGATGATAACAAGAAAAGCTGCCAGTTTCCTCCGTCACCTACCTGTGTCCTGAATGATGAGAACTTTTAAACGCCGAGTTGAACACAGCGAAGTCAGTTTTTACTCCATGTGCGCAACACCAATCTCGATTATCAGCTGAAATAGGTTCCCCAGGGAGTAACAACCATCACTCAGACCCCTTGTGTTTTAGTAGTTAGAAGTGAGTGAGTTTAGTTTTACGCCGCACTCAGCAATATTCCAGCTAGATGGCTGCGGTCTGGAAATAATCGCGTCTGGACCAGACAATCCAGTGCTAAACAGCATAAGCATCTATCTACGCAACTGGGATACGATGACATCTGTCAACCAAGTCAGCAAGCCTGGCCACCCTATGACAAGCATGGGTTACTGAAGATCAATTCTAACCCGGACCTTCATGTCCAGAGACATGCCATTAATATTCTCTCTCTCACTCAGTATCGCCTTAGTCATTTGCCTTTCGATTGTTACTGTCTTTGCATCGTTATCGAATTATCTTCTTGTTTTACACTGTAGTGAAGCGTTGGAAAAGTAGTTTTTGTCGACTTGATGTCAGAAAAAGACTTGATAAAAATACCATTCGCTCAGCGTTGCGCAGTAGGGGTATTTTACTCCCTCTTCACTTGAGTGTACACCCTGTGGCAATCACTCACGATCACTCAGCTACGTAAGTTAGCACAACACCTAATTCTATTATTAGTGTAATATATTTATGTCATTAAAACTTATACACTCATTTCTTGGCTGGTCATTTATCATACACTCGAAAGACACGTTCCACCATTATTTTCTTGTTCATGTACAATAGGGCTGTGTAGTAGCCAAGTGGTTAAAGCGTTGGGTCGTCACGCCGAAGACCCTGGTTCGATTCCCCACGTGGGTACAATGTGTGAAGCCCATTGCTAATGTTTCAGTCGTTATTTTCCTGGAATATTGCTGAAAGCGGCGTAAACTAAACTCACTCACTCTTGTACGTTTGTTCTGGTGTGTGCGTTATTGTTTGTTCGTTTCAGTTTATGCGTTCTTTCGTGTATTTAAAGGCATGTTTACGTTCGTGCGCTGAGTTTGTGTTCATGGATATGGGTTTTAGTAAGTGCGTGTTCGTGCATGTTTAGTTGCGTTCGTCCTCGTGCACGTGTTAGTGTTTGTGGGTTGTTCGGGGCGGTGGGGAAGCCTTATGGTTAAAGCGTCCGCTCGTCCCGCTGAAGACCCGGGTTCGATTCCACACATGGGTACAATGTGTAAAGCCCATTTCGGGCTCACTAACTCACTCGTGCGCTGTTCTTTGTGCTATCAGAGGCAATTAGGGGTACAACATCTAGATAACATACAAAGCTCATAGATATTATTGGGCGCATTCATGAATCGCACGACACGTCGCAAGGGTCAGATACGTATGGCCAAGCAGCCTAATTTTGAAAGAAAAATGTTACATCATAAGTAAGTGTCCAAGGGCCATCTTCATGAAGGTCAATTCTTTCTATTTTCTCTAATCTATAACCACTGACAGACAAAACAATAAAGTGATAAAGACAATCCCGTTTGACGGCGTCTGGTTAGTTTTTGGAATGTCTATCTCCATTATAATCATTAAGCACGATGAAATTGTTTTATTCTACCATGACTACGTGAAATACTCGAATTTGATTCGACAATCAATAAAATTAGACACTATCAATCCTGGATTGACAATGAGTCTGATTCCATGACCGCCTCACTGCACACGTATCCAACACTGCCGCGCTACTTCAGCTTGACCACCAACATGGCTAATATCAACGCAACAGACGTGATGGAAATGTTTATAAAACATTTATTCAACTCCAAAAATACAATTATATGGTTTGTCCTCCACAATTATTAGGGAACCTCACTATCACATTACATTCTATTATAAAAATAATAACTCAATTACAATGCACAGCCCCAAACAAAACCAAACAATATCTAACTAATAAATCAGAAAGCCTTGTAAAAATACATCCCTATCTATACAAAATTTGCAGCAAAACGTTAATAAATATTTGCCTACCTGGTAAATGGTATATAAATTCGCAAGATAACGGTCAGGCGAAACACCACATTTATACCACTCACACAGAATTCTGATCTCTGTCAGCTTCCCAACAAGGGTGTCACTGCTGGTGATCTGTGTTCGTACACTTTGAAAATATCTTGGCTACAATCCTGTCCCAACTGATGAATACAATTTCCAAGGAATCCCAAGTTAATCGCATGTACACAAAAGTCATTGCGTTGGACCAGCACTGTCACTCCTTCGTCGCATGCCGGGTAGGAGGCACGTACGTGAAATCATGATCGAAACTCGCCGGTCATAAAAATCAACAGTCTTTGACTAGTTTAATGAGTTACCACACTGTTGGTCGATCAGAAAAGGATCTAATCTTCGATTCAAAGACAAAGTCAAAAAGGAGTTTATTTGTAACGAGGCCAAGGGCCCAAATACAAGATATAACTATACATCGTTAACAAGAGCATACAAATGAAGTCTAAAGTGTTTCTAAATACCTATTTCTTTTTATATATGCATGGTAAATGTAATACTGTACACGTCTGATAAAATTCTCCTGAGTTGCACATGTCAGCCTTTTAAATTTATGGATAGAAGGGAATTTCCAAAAGTGTTCCGGAAGAAAAGTTGTTCTCAATTCATTGTACAAGTGGCATATAAGTGTGAAATGATACTCATCCTCTACAGAGGTGTTGCAAATGGGACACACACGTAAACCAGATTCGATTGATTGCCACCTACCTTCATTATAACGTAGTGGCAAGACATTGCATCTGAATTTGTTGTTAGTAGAGCGCACCTTTTTTTCTAATATGATATACAGGTATCTTTCTGGTTCAAATATGAATTTATATTCTCTATACATCACATATCTAGAGCTGTTATTCAACGTGGAAGTCCAACTTTGAGAAAATTCATTTATCAATGATGTTTTAAACAATTGTACAAAAGAAAGTTCATCGCCAACAGATTGGTTAATCCAGATATATCCAAAGCCATGAGAAAACAAAATATTTTTATGAACGATACCCAACTCTTTTTTCCAATGTCATCAAAATATCTTAACATGTAATACACTTTGTTGGGTAATCTACACTCGCTCATTTTGAGCAATTTTAGCCAATATCGTAAAAGCCGTAAGTAAGCATTTATATATATATTGGATAGCGGCCACATTCGCCATATACAATAGTATTAGGAGTTTGTTTTCCTACCCTTAAAATCGTTTGCAGGCTAGAAGATGTACCTTTTCCAATAATTCATATTGCTTGACTCCCCAAATCGCACAGCCATATAATAATATCGGCATCACCTGGGAATCAAAGATTTTAAAATATATTTTCGGGTCAATCATTCTAATCTTATTTAGTTTGACAATGATTTCCGTCAATGCTCTTTTACCCCGGCTTGCCAAGTCTGAAATGCATTTAGTCATTTTTAAGTTACTTGAAAACCAGACACCTAAATACTTGTAACTATTTACAGTGGCAATTTGGTTTCCTTTATAAAACCTGTTTTCCTTATTCGAAAGAATGCCCCCTTTTCTGAACACAATAATTTGAGTTTTATCAAGATTAACAGTTAACCCCCAATTGTCTGAAAACGTTTCAAGAATATTTAACTGGTTTTGAAGGCCGACAATTGATTCAGATACGAGGATGTTATCATCTGCAAATAGAAGTAGGAATAGTTCATATAAATCAGGGAATAATTGCAAGCCGTGTCTACCACATTCATTTACAGAGTTTGACAGTTCACTGATGAATAATTAGAATAACAACGGGCTTAGGATGCATCCTTGGCGCACTCCATTTGGGCAATTGAATAGATCGGTAAAATCTGAAGAAGAGCATTTTACGTAAGCTTGTACAGATATGTAAATTGCTTTGAGTGCTGACAGCATTCCCCCCCCTAACCCGTTCTGTTTAAGGCAAAACCAAAGTTTATTTCTTTTCACATAATCAAACGCCTTTCTGAAATCTATGAAGGCGACATAAAGCTTTTTTCGTTTTTTCGTAAAGAATTTTTCGACAATAGAATTTAGCGTGAATATGCTATCTGTGGTTGAATAACCAGATCGAAAGCTTGCCTGTGTTTCTGGAACTTTCTCTTTTAGCTCTGTCCAGACTTTCAGTCTATTATTGAGCATACCAGTGTAGATTTTGCTCAAGACGCTTAATAACGATATGCCCCTGTAGTTGTCGGGGTTATTTCTATCACCTTTTTTGTGTATTGGGACAACGATAGACTTTGTCCAGCTTGTAGGAAATGTTCCCGAGTCATATATTTTATTGAAAAGTGTAGCGAGAAAAGGCATGAAATATGAGGAAGTGGTTTTGATCATTTCAGTTTGTGTTATACCTGTGCCAGCTGCCTTACCACTATCTATATGTTTTATAGCATCACTAATTTCTGACGAAGTAATATGTGAATCTAGGATAAGTGAATCAACTTCACCTAAGTCTGGTTCTTCCGTAGAGCCAAAGTGGTCAATCATTGGTGCATCATAAGTTGCAAACAGGCTACTAAAGTGGTTAAACCATGCATCATTACTGATATTCGGACGACGTCGGTGCAAAGGAGATATACCTCTGAGGATACGCCAAAACGTCTTTGGGTTACCGGTTGCTTGCTTTAATGCTTCAGCTTTGTTGCGCTCATACGAGAGCTTTGTGCGCCAACAGATACCCTTATATAAATTCCTCTGTTTGCAATAATTACGTCGGTTTTCCTCAGATTTATTTCTTTGGAATCGACGCAAGGCTTTGCGAGTGAAGCATTTTTTCCTTTTACAATATTTATCCAAAAACCCATTTGAAATACACTTTTTGTTACGTTTTTTCATACAGTCCGCTGCACCAAGTACTGTTTGTACAAACAAGTCTAGAGCGTGGTCAACATCTGTATCAACTAATTTTGTTGCTTCAACAAAGGTGTCAGCAAGTTGTTTTATGCTGTCGGTGTACACGTCTGACTTAGCATGGTCCCATACAATTCTGTCTGAGCAGTTTCTGTCAGTATTATCATTATTTTCTAGCTGGTGGCTTTGCTCATAAAGTTTACGTTTTGCCGTTAATGGCATATGATCTGATTCTACTCGGGCCTCTACATGAAACGATTCAATCAGTTCAAACGCATCAATACTGGCAATGCAATAATTATTTACCGAAGAACCCTGGCTAGATATGAACGTAAACTCGCCAGTTTTATCTCCTTGCACACGACCATTTAAAATATACAACTTTTACGTATAACACATTTCCATTAGCATTCTACCAAATCTATTTATTGAGTTATCACAAGATTGTCTGTTGTCAGTAGGCACTAACTCTTCGTTAGGGAACACATCTCCCAGAAAGTTCGGTTGTGGTTCAGGTGGTTCATTGCCTGTCCCAACCCTGGAGTTCAGATCACCGGTGATAACTATATGACAGTCAGAAAGAATATCCAGGTTTTTCTGAGAACCACTGCATCATGATCAAGTAGTTCTATACTTGGTGGTTTCCCACACAATGTGTAGTATGTCGACCCCTTCGGGTGGTATGTAGAGACCTATCAAAATAACATCTTTCTTACTTTGAAATATCCGTTTAGAAATACGAAAGGCAATTAGATTATCGATACCCAACTTCAGTAAAGTGCAGAACTGGGATACGTTGTTATGTATGAAAGCAAGTACTCCTCCCGACAATCTCCCATGCCTGACCGTTTTCATTGCTTTCGCTATGTATTGTGTATAGTCAGACAACTCAGGGACAGCAATGATGCTGTCTCCAAACGTCTCATACAGAATCATTATTTGAAACCTAATGAAATAGGAAATGAAATCTGTATTCTCTAATTTAGACGTTATACCATTGATGTTCCAAGAGAGAACCTCTAACAAATGTGTAAGTGGGTACTCATCTGATATGCTATCAGCTGTTCAGGTAGGTTGCTGCGGCCACATCCCTATTCATCAGGAGTCCCCCTAGATGGAGCCTGTACGTCATCCTCTCGACTGCTGTCACGTGAGGGTGCAGACTCTTGTCGGGTAGCCCGTGACCTGGGCCTTGCAGCCGTTTTTCTGCGGACCGGGACAATGGTCCTGGTGCTTGTGGTTTCATTCTCGTTCATCGGTCTTGTGATCAGTCTACCATTTGTGTAGGGTTCAGATTCGACAATCAGTGAAGTATTTTCTCCACTGTGACTTCAACTTTCACCCTTTCCCAAATGTAAACATTGGATCGCCCGCCATTTCAAACTGTTGCGCAACAACTACTTCTATGAAAATAAGTAGGTCAGACGATTCCATTGCCAGGGGAGGGGTACAGTAACACGGCACACAAAATAGGGCGGGCATTCCAAAGCACGTCGACCCTAAAGGCGATCACGTGATTCGCTGCACGTTACTTGTGAAGTAGATTTGCACAAGTGTCTAAGGTCAAAATGAATAGTTTAAATGATAATTTCTAAAAAACAAACAATAAACAACAGGCCGGGGTCCTCAGATGTGCTGTCCGCCTATCGAGACTTGCCTTTTCGAAGGATAGACTTACTATACATCCATGGGCTCAGCATTCAGTACAGCCTTGGAGTAAGACTACCCGTGAAGATCAGGTTTAGAATTGGTCGTCAGCCACCAATGTTTGTCGTAAGAGGCGACTAACAGGATCGGGTGGTCAGGCTCGTTGACTTGGTTGACACATATTATCGTATCCCAGTTGCGTCGATGCTCATGCTGTTGATCTCTGGATTGTCTGGTCCGGACTCGATTATTTACAAACCGCCGCCATATAGCTGGAATATTGCTGAGTGCGGCGTTAAACAACAAACAAACAAATCGACCCACTTTATTGTTGTGTTTCACACTTTATGGACACATTGTCAACATCTGCCGTCAAGATCAAGTTACTTCGACACCTACGGACCCCATACAACGTTTACTCAACTGATTTCGTTCCAATTAGTCATGCAGCATCAGCCATTTTAACAAGCATTGTGCTTTGGATATAATTTATTCATTTTAATCAACACGGTAGACATGTGCACCCCGATCTCAATTATTAGAGTGCCACGATATCGTTTGCATGTGTGAAAATCAGATCAATATAACTGATGGAAAAGACATCGAAACCATTGTTACGTTTCTGTTGTTGACTACTGCCAGCAACGTCATTGTCTTATAAGCGTGAAGTTTCACCCTTTGGTTTCATTATCGGAGGAAAACGTGAACAAGATGAAACTGATAGTAAGTGTTGTTACCGTCTACAACGTTCTGACTCTGGGTTACTGTCAGGGAAATCTGTTGAGTCAAGCTGTTCTTACAAAGAATACCCCAACGTCTCGAACGTTTGTCTGTACGTGTTCCGACGCTGCCAGCTGCACTGCAGACAAGTGGAAGGACCTTCTAGCTGAGTGTCGGCAGATGTTGGAGAACATCGACCATCAGGTACTCTAAATGTAGAGTGGGTGTGGTTTTACGCCGCTTTTAGCAATATTCGAGCACTTTGGCGGCGGGTGACATATAACATGGTCTTCACACATTGTACTATATGTGGGATCGAATTCGGGTCTCGGTGTGACGATCGAGCGCTTTAACCGTGAGGCTACTCCACCACCTCCTGTAAATGACAATGTCATCTGTTCCCAAGTGCGCAAATCGATGCTTATTTTGGTGACAACTGGATTGTCTGGTCCAGACTCGATTATATAAAGACCGCCACCATATAGCTGGAATATTGCTGAGTGCGGCGTAAAACTCAACTCACTCACTCATTGTAATGAGAAGTGGCGTTTCACGTGAATTTGTGGATAGCAACATGAATTTGTAAAGATGGGGTTTATCCGATATATCGTTAACTGATTAGTGAAATTATTAGGGCTGCACGGTATTACCGGTATATCGGTAAACCGCAATACGAAATTCTAACAATTACGTATCGCGATACGTTTATGACGTAAAGGTATACCGCCAAATATTTATTTGTTCACCTTTAACCCATTCAACACCGCAAATAAGACTTCCGCCCGTATACTCCCTAAATTTTAATGGTGAGGAAATATATATATATATGTATATTCAGTTAATATGGGTGGTGGATGGGGATTGGGCGGAAGTCTTTCCAAATGATTGGCAACGGGTCCACTTAAACATTGTCAAAGAGCAAATGATGGACGTTTCGAGAAAATCATTAAAATTGAATAAACTAATGAATAAAATCAACAGTTTTCATAAAAGTTGTCAGACGTACATCTAAGTTACTATTTCCATCTTTTCGTGCGATCATGTTATGTAAGTCAAGTGACATCTCGGCTTTCGTCACCTCGATCTTCATGCTCGGACACGATGTTTAATGAGAAAACATTTTGCATTTGCCGTTGCCACCTAGGACGATACGTCCAATAAGTTTCATAATTTACGTATATATGGCGAATTGTTGCTTACGACGTTCAGAATAGCATTATTGTACCCAAAACTTTGGTCTAAAAGTTTTTGTTTATGACGATGGTATCCATTGCGTAATATGATTGGCTTACGAGCATGATTTTTACCAATCACGAACCTTATAGCAGACTGTGGCCAAAAAGCACCATTAGAACCTATCTTTATCCAATAAAATCGCTTCTTACCGCTGTGAAAATACTCCTGGCAAGGTTACTGTGAAATTGTTGATGATTAGAACTTTGGAACAAGACCCGAGATCAAATGAATCTTCTAGAGTGTTGTTCATACGGAGTTTCGAAAACGGAGGCATTTCCCATGTTACGGGGTGATAAGCCACTGTTATCGGGAAATAGGCGACCATGCATATTATTTAATTAATCTTTATATAATAATTTTCTGATTACGTAAAAATGGAAGTATGTAACAAATTTTGCAGACCATGTCAGAAAACGCACAAGAGACAACCACGCCTGCAGAGGTGACAACGACTCCGACCACCACAGGTAATGGGTGTTTTCATGAAGCTCCTGCCCCTCTTCCCTGTGATCTATACTCAGCACATTACGTATGTAATGCACCTAAGGTGAGACCACATGTTTCACATGTGCCTCGTTGTGGGCAGGACTCTGTGTGTGTGTGTGTGTGTATGTGCTGCGTGGGTGTGTGTCGGAGCGTATCTCACATGTGTGTGTGTGAATGTGTCTGACGTGTTTGTGAGTGTGTCTGACGTGAATGTAAGTGTGGGTCACGTGTGAGAGTGAGTGTGTCTCACGTGTGTGTCTGACGTGTGGGTGAGTGTGTCTGACGTGTGGGTGAGTGTGTCTGATGTGTGTATGTGAGTGTGTCTGACGTGTGTATGTGAGTGTGTCTGACGTGTGTAAATGTGTCTGACGTGTTTATCTGACTGTGTCTGATGTATGTGTGAGTGTGACTGACGTGGGTGAGTGTGTCTGATGTGTGTACTTGTCTGACGTGTGTATGTGAGTGTGTCTTAAGTATGTCAGTGAGTGTGTCTGACGTGTATATGTGAGTGTGTCTGACGTGTATACGTGAGTGTGTCTGACGTGGTTGAGTGTGTCTGATGTGTGTGTGAGTGTTTCTGACTTGGGTGAGTGTATGACGTGTGTGTGTCTGACGTATGTGTATCTGACATGGTGTGTGTGTCTGACGTGTGTGAGTGTCTAGCGTATGTGTGTAAGTGTGTCTGACGTGTTAGTGAGTGTGTGTGGCGTGTGTATGTATGTGGTATGTAACGTGGCTGACGTGCACTGGATCATGTTTGACGTCATCTACTACCATAACTTATACTACGACTACAGCCACTACTGCTACGACCTCTACTAATACTGTCAATATTACAACTACCACCACGCCGATTTCTACCACAACCACCATCACAGCTAATGCTAATAGCACAACCGCGTACGGTCTCTCTTCTACCTTTACTTCCGCTGCTACTACTACTATACCACGACGTCTACTACTACAACTGGTACTACTACCCCAGCAGTACTAACAACATATATTTACATAATATGCTACATTTACTCTCTAATTTACTCGCTAACCACATACGTGATTTACATGGACGAATAAATGAATGTTGCAGTACGCCGTTATTTTCGGCTTTCGTCGAGGGGGCGGTGGGATAGGCTAGTGACTAAAGCTTTCGCTCGTAACGCCGAAGGAGCCGGGTTCGATTCCCCACATGGGCAAGATATGTGAATCCCATTTCTGGAAGCATAACGTTCCCAGTACTTTGTTTTGGATGTCCACCTCATGCATTTCATGTCCATCTCATTCCAGCATCCTGTGTCTCGGACTGCACTGGTCTGGGCAATGGGAAATACCAGTCGTGCGAACGGTGCGACGGCTACGTGGAATGCATTCTTGGAAGGAAATTCAACAGACCATGCAGCGCTGGTTTGCTGTGGGATGATAACAACAAAAACTGCCTGTTTCCTCCGTCACCTACCTGTGTCCCTTAAACACCGAGTTGAACACAACGCAGTCAGTTTTTACTCCATGTACCCAACAACAATCTCGATTATCAGCTGAAATAGGTTCCCCAGGGAGTAACAACCATCGCTCAGACCCCTTGTGTTTTAGTAGTTAGAAGTGAGTGAGTTTAGTTTTACGCCGCACTCAGCAATATTCCAGCTATATTACTGCGGTCTGGAAATAATCGCGTCTGGACCACACAATCCAGTGATAAACAGCATAAGCATCTATCTACACAACTGGGATACGATGACATATGTCAACCAAGTCAGCGAGCCTGGCCACCCAATGACAAGCATGGGTTACTGAAGATCAATTCTAACCCGGACCTTCATGTCCAGAGACATGACATTAATATTCTCTCTCTCACTCAGTATCGCCTTAGTCATTTGTCTTTCTATTGTTACTGGCTTTGCATCGTTATCGAATTATCTTCTTGTTTTACACTGTAGTGAAGCGTTGGAAAAGTAGCTTTGTCGACTTGATGTCAGAAAAAGACTTGATAAAATACCATTCGCTCAGTGTTGCGCAGTAGGGGTATTTTACTCCTGCTTCACTTGAATGTACACCCTGTGGCAATCACTCACTCAGCTACGTAAGTTAGCACAACACCTAATTATATTATTAGTGTAATATATTTATGTCATTAAAACTTATACACTCATTTCTTGGCTTGTCATTTATCATACGTTCCACCATTATTTTCTTGTTCATGTACAATAGGGCTGTGTAGTAGCCAAGTGGTTTAAGCGTTGGGTCGTCACGCCGAAGACCCTGGTTCAATTCCCCACGTGTGTACAATGTGTGAACCCCATTTCTAGTGTTTCAGTCGTTATTTTCCTGGAATATTCTGGTGTGTGCGTTATTGTTTGTTCGTTTCAGTTTATGCGTTCTTTCGTATCTTTAAAGGCATGTTTGCGTTCGTGCGCTGAGTTTATGTTCATGGATATGGGTTTTAGTAAGTGCGTATTCGTGCATGTTTAGTTGCGTTCGTCCTCGTGCATGTGTTAGTGTTTTGGGGCTGTTCGGGGCGGTGGGGTAGCCTTATGGTTAAAGCGTCCGCTCGTCCCGCTGAAGACCCGGGTTCGATTCCACACATGGGTACAATGTATAAAGCCCATTTCGTGCTCACTAACTCACTCGTGCGCTCTTCTTTGTGCTATCAGAGGCAATTAGGGGTACAACATCTACATAACATACAAAGCTCATAGATATTATTGGGCGCATTCATGAATCGCACGACACGTCGCAAGGGTCAGATACGTATGGCCAAGAAGCCTAATTTTGAAAAGAAAATGTAACATCATAAGTAAGTGTCCAAGGGCCATCTTCATGAAGGTTAGTTCTTTTCTATTTTCCCCAATCTATAACCACTGACAGACGAAACAATAAAGTGATAAAGACAATCACGTTTGACGGCGTCTGGTTAGTTTTTGGAATGTCTATCTCCATCATAATCATTAAGCAAGATGAAATTGTTTTATTCTACCATGATTACGTGAAATACGCGAATTTGATTCGACAATCAATAAAATTAGACACTATCAATCCTGGATTGACAATGAGTCTGATTCCATGACCGCTTCACTGCACACGTATCCAACACTGCCGCACTACTTCAGCTTGACCACCAACACGGCTAATATCAAGCAACAGACGTGATGGAAATGTTTATAAAACATTTATTCATCTCCAAAAATACAATTATATGGTTTGTCATTCACAATTATTAGGAAACCTCACTATCACATTACATTCTATTATCAAAATATCCAAACTCAATTACAATGCACAGCCCCAAACAAACCAAACAATATCTAACTTATAAATCAGAAAGCCTTGTAAAAATACATCCCTATCCATACAAAATTTGCAGCAAAACGTTAATAAATATTTGCCTATCTGGTAAATGGTATATAAATTCGCAAGATAACGGCTAGGCGAAACACCGCATTTATACCACTCATACTCCATCATGTCCTGTTACATTGTTAAAAAAATACATGTCAGAAATTGAACTACCAAAAATCTGCTCTCTGTCAGCTTCCCAGCAAGGGTGTCACTGCTGGTGATCTATGTTCGTACACTTTCAAAATATCTTGGTCACAATCCTGTCCCAACTGATGAATACAATTTCCAAGGAATCCCAAATGAGTCGCATGTACACAAATCATTACGTTGGGCCAGCACTGTCACTCTTTCGTCGCATGCCAGGGTAGAGGCACGTACGTGAAATCATGATCGAAACTCGCCGGTCATAAAAATAAAACAACAACAGTCTTTGACTAGTTTGATGAGTTACCACACTGATTTGTTGGTCGATCAGAAAAGGATCTATTCTTCGATTCTGCAGGGTTCAGATTCGACAGTCAGTGAAGTATTTTCTCCACTGTGACTTCAACTTTCACCCTTTCCCAAATGTAAACATTGGCTCGCCCGCCATTTCAAACTGTTGCGCAACAACTACTTCTATGAAAATAAGTAGGGCAGACGATTCCATTGGGGGGTACACTAACACGGCACACAAAACAATAGGTCGGGCATTCCAAAGCACGTCGACCCCTAAAGGCGATGCTCATGCTGATGCTGTTGATCACTGGATTGTCTGGTCCGGACTCGATTATTTACAAACCGCAGCCATAGAGCTGGAATATCGCTGAGTGCGGCGTAAAACAACAAACAAACAAATCGCCCCACTTTATTGTTGTGTTTCACATTTTATGGACACATTTTCAACATCTGCTGTCAAGACCAAGTTACTTCAACACTTACAGAACCCATACAACGTTTACTCAACTGATTTCATTCTAATTAGTCATGCAGCATCAGGCATTTTAACAAGCTTTGTGGTTTGGACATAATTTATTCATTTTAATCAACACGGTAGACATGTGCACCCCAGCTCTCAATTATTAGAGTGTCTCGATATCGATTGCATGTGTGAAAATCAGATATAACTGATGATTAAGACATCGAAATCATTGTTACGTTTCTGTTGTTGGCAACTGCCAGCAACATCATTGTCTTATAAGCGTGAAGTTTCACCCTTTGGTTTCATTATCGGAGGAAAACGTGAACAAGATGAAACTGATAGTAAGTGTTGTTACCGTCTACAACGTTCTGACTCTGGGTTACTGTCAGGGAAATCTGTTGAGTCAAGCTGTTCTTACAAAGAATACCCAAACGTCTCGAACGTTTGTCTGTACGTGTTCCGACGCTGCCAGCTGCACTGCAGACAAGTGGGAGGACCTTCTAGCTGAGTGTCGGCAGATGTTGGAGAACGTCGACCATCAGGTACTCTAAATGTAGAGTGGGTGTGGTTTTACGCCGCTTTTAGCTATATTCCAGCAATATGGCGGCGGGTGACATATAACATGGTCTTCCCACATTGTACTATGTGTGGAATCGAATTCGGGTCTCGGTGTGACGAGCGAGCACTTTAACCGTGAGGCTACTCCACCACCTCCTGTAAATGTTCCCAAGTGCGCAAATCGATGCTCAT